ATGATGTATGTATAACTATGTTTCCTGACTGAACGTGTGCTGAAACATCCCCACCTATACATGCAGGAAAACAAACAATCTGATTAAAAATGGACAGAGAATCTGAATACTTTTCTAAGAAGACAGATGGCCAACAGGTACATGAAAAGATACTCAACATCATTAGTCAGTGAGAAAATGCAAATTAAAACCACAATGAGCTATCATTCACACCTGTTAGGATGGCTATTATCAAAAAGACAAGAAACAACAAGTGTTGTCAAGGATGTGGAGAAACGGGAACACTGATGCACTGCTGATGTGGGAAACAGATAAACTGGTGCAGCCACTGTGGAAACAGCATGGAGGTTCCTCAAGGAATTAAAAATGGAACTTCCATATGACCCAGCAATTCCATTTCAGGGTATTTATCTGAAGAAAACTAAACCATCAACTTCACCCCATGTCCACAGAAGCATTCACAATAGCCAAGATATGAAAACAAGCTAAATGTCCAGCACTGAATGAATAGATAAAGAAAGAAAATGTGGTGAACACACACACACACACACTGGAATATTATTCAACCATAAAAAATAATGAAATCTTGTCATTTGCAGCAACATGGGCATTATGCTAAGTGAACTAAAACAGAGAAAGAGAACAGATTAGTAGTTGCCAGAGAGGGTTGGTGAAAGGGGTGAGGGAGTCAAAAGGTACAAATTTCCAGTTATAATATAAATAAGTCATGAGAATATAATGCGAACAATTTTTAAAAATTGTGTATTGAGCACCTACTAGATGTCAGAAAGTGGGCTAGAAGTAGAAAATATAATCTCAAAATTCTTTTAAGAACCATCTTTTTTTTTTCAAAGCATGAGGCAGTAGAAGGAAAGAAGTCAACTGATCAAATAGGATATCTATATATATTAAACCCTAATATGCAAATAGACCAAACGGTGGGACAACCAAACAACTAACAACCAGTCACTATGATGTGCGCTGACCACCAAGGGGCGTGCGTGGAACATGGTGGGCAGCGGCAGAGCACAGAACATGGCGGGCATCAGCTGCGGTGGGATGGTGGAGCAGGTGAGCGGGGTTGCCAGACCAAGGCGGGAGGCCAGTCACTGTCATTGGGGCAAGCCTCTGGTGGTTACTGAAAATTCTTTGCTCCCACGCACCGTAGTCCTGCCAGGCGCTCGGCTCGCACCCGAAGCCTGTGCCACAGCTGCCGCTTGCAACCGCTGCCAGTTCCTGGCACTAGCCCCGATCACCCCTGAGGGCTTCTCCACCTCCCCCTGCTCCTGAGGGGTGATCTGGGCAGCAGGTGCCAGCGGGGCAGGCACCGTCAGCGCATGGGAGCAGCGGCAGCACGAGTGGGGCTGCCAGCAGACAGGGGACCTAGGGCCACGGCGGGAGGGGCCAGGCGGGGGCACAGAGGATGGGCCAAGACCTGCCCTTACTCCCCCCTCTGCCCCCCCCCCACCCGCAGCCCACAGGTCCTTTCAAGGTGCACGAATTCATGCACTGGGCCCCTAGTAGGTTATATGTATCATATTTTCTGAACAAAAGATAGAACATAGGGTCTGGCAAGTGTAATAAAAAGTGTTTAAAACCAGGGCTGTGCTGGAGGAGCAATGCCCTCTCAGTCTGTGGGAGCACGTGACTAAAGGCATTTTCAACAAGCAATTAGGCAAGAGGACATGAAAGGACAAAAAGAACAGGGTGGGAGCCTCGCCTAGATTTCTGCATTGTGGGGCTTGGGAAGCAGGTGCCTTCCAAAAGGAATTTCTAAGGACTTGCCTCAAGGGAAGGCGTTTCCTCCTGGGACAAGAAAAGACAGAGAAGCAGCAATCAGCAGGCCCAGAAGGAGTGGTGACCAGATCTCCAGGTTCTAGAAACTCCCTTTGTTAAGTTGAGGGATGGAAGTTTCCTGCTGGTCTCTCCCTCCATTGCCCTATTGTCTTTCCTAAGTCAAGAGAAGGGGGCCTCCCCTGGGAGCCTCAGCCTCACATTCAAGGACCATTCTTCGGTCTCTAACCGCAGGGTACCGCAGGGTGAGGCAGAGTTGGAAGCGCTCCCTGGCCTGCCCTGGGGCAAGGCTTACACCTCCCAGGTGACTCCTCTGCCCAGCTTCCTCCTGCTTAGCTGTGCAGCAGAGTCAGTGCCCGCAAATGAAGCCACTGAAAGTGGGTAGGGCAAGGTGCCTTAGCTGACTCCATCGACTTACAACAACAGCTTAGCTTGGGGCCTCCATCACAAGTTATCAAACACATGAAAATCACTTCAGCATCTTGGAATAAAGATGCTTCTATTAGGGGTGGGGGTGGACTCAGCAGGGAGGTTTTCTTTTGCTTTACCTTCTAGATCAGTGGTTCTCAACCTTCCTAATGCCGCGACCCTTTAATACAGTTCCTCATGTTGTGGTGACCCCCAATTTCATTGTTACAAATTGAACATAATTAAAGCATAGTGATTAATCACAAAAACCATATGTAATTATATATGTGTTTTCCGACGGTCTTAGGCGACCCCTGTGAAAGGGTCGTTCGACCCCCAAAGGGGTCTCGACCCACAGGTTGAGAACCACTGTTCTAGATTGATGGTTAATGTCAAGGTGATGGCAGTAACAGAGAGGAACTGCTTTTCCCCTTAAAGTTGCCTGGATCTCACTTCTGATGGTTGAGTGAGGTCAGTTCCATGTCAGAAACTACTCATACCCTCACTTGTAAATGCTGTTAGGCACTGCCTTGGTATCACTGGAGGCTGCCAGAGAAAAGGCACCTGAGGAGATGGACCAGGGCACAGGTTTAAAAGAGGCGATACCTGGTCCCGAGATTCTGAGCACAACCACCTCAGGCTTTTCTCTCCTTCAGCCAGAAGAGTAGCTCTCCAAGTGTGGTCTGGTCACCTGACTAGCAGCATCAACATCACCTGAGGCCTTGTTAGAACTCATTAGAAATGCAAGTTCTCAGGCTCACCCTAGACCCCTGGTCGGCAAACTGTGGCTCTCGAGCCACATGCGGCTCTTTGGTCCCTTGAGTGTGGCTCTTCCACAAAATACCGACTTCTGCGCATGGGCCACGAAGTTTCAATCGCACTGTACATGCGCGCCCGCATGTGGTGTTTTGTGGAAGAGCCACACTCAAGGGGCCAAAGAGCCTCATGTGGCTCACGAGCTGCAGTTTGCCGACCACTGCCCTAGACCAAGGGAATCAAACATTCTGGAGCTGGAGCCCAGTTATCTGTCCTTGAACACGCCCTCCAAGTGGTTGGGAAGCACAGGGAGGTTGAGAAGCCCTGAGCTGGATGATCCATTGTCCTGGGAATAACCATGCCATGTTCACAAAGGACCTAGATTCCCGAATGGATATGCAACCACAGCGGAAATGCACCCCCTCACTGAGAATGAAGAATGAGTGCGGCTCATCTGTGGCTGGATAATAAGGAGATTGGGTGGGTCAGTTCAGGCTGGAATCTGAGACTCTAGGTCTTAGCAGGGGTCGGGAGAGTCTAGAGGACAAACACAGGGGTGGGCTCTGACCTGCCCTTGGCCATTCCGCAGGGGACTAGGAGTGGCTGCAATTCCAGGCAGGTGCTTAGGTTTTGAATGGCCTTATCTTTGATAAAAGAAGACCACATTCTCTAAGTCTTTACTGTAAACCTCTAGGCCTCAGAGATAATGATTTGGCCTATTGTGTTGATAAAAAAAAAATGTTAGAAATCCTGAAGCAGGGAGGGGTTTATGGTGAACCCTACAGTGATCTGGCAGAGGCAGATCCAGGTTTTGTGAGCCTGGACTTCTGTTATTTTGGTGGCTCTATTTAGAAAAAAGAATGTGGAACGTATTATGTTCGCAGATTTGATGAAAACACATGGCCATGTGAACACATGCTGGGGTCCTCCCAGGGCCTTAGAAAGAAAGGCCTGTCCAGTGTGGGGCCTCTGTAATGCTGCCTCCCAGTCCGGGAAGGGCAGTCATCCTCCTCCCCGTCCTGGCTCTCGCTGGACCCCACCTGCCCAGAAGCTAACTAGATCACTTTCAGCTCTTCCTCCTCCTGTCTCTTTTCCTTTTTTTTGTGTCATTCTGTTGTTGTGTGCAGCCATTAGAAAACAGTTACAGAAAGTGAAACTGAGGTCAGTCAAAGACTTCTTGCTGTATTTTCATGGCTCAGAAGCAAGGACACACTGTCTCTAAGAACAATCAGACAGACCGTGTGGCCTGGGGAGTGACCTGCATCAGTAACACTTTTCACTAATATTTCCAAACAATTACTGCCTCCCTCTCCCTCCCTGCCCTCCTCAAGCCCGTTCTTTTTCCTGCCTCACCCTTTAGTGAATGGTGTCCCTTCTCCCGAAGTCAGCTGGATCTGAACCCTCAGAGCTTTTCTGGCCCTCCCATCATCTAATGACAAAAGGCTTGTCCAGGGCCCGCAGAAACAGATGGAGGAATTGGATCCTTTGACTCTCAGTTTCAAAAGGCGCTTAATCGCTCTCCTGTACTCAGTGACAGCAAGTCCCTCCTTTCCAAATGAGCAAGAGTATTTTGGACTTTTTAAAGTTTCAAGAAGTTCATCTAGGAACACAATGTACCGTCACTCAGCACCACGACCCTACCTGCAGCCCTGCCTGAGTATAATTCTCCTCTAATGACGCACAGTGAGCCCCACCGCTGTCCCCGGAGCTGCCACTCCTGACACTCAGCCATCGCTGTCGCAGTCAGAGGGCTCTGGAGGGCGCTCGAAGGCACTTAGGTAACCAACCACCCTTCCCACCCTGACTGGCTCTGCCGCTCCTCTTCCCCCACCCTTTGATACTTCTGGCACTTTTCACAGATTCCCATTTGGCATGAAACCTGGGTCTCCAAACTAGAGCGAGCTCCTGGCCAGCCTGCCAAGCTGCCTCCCCAGCTGCTGCTGGTTCCCCGCCTTCCCTGGGGCCCTCCAGGGCCGAAGCCAGGCTTCAGCAGGAACTTCCTCCACGTTCTCAGGTGGCTCCCAACCCAAGGCCATGCCTACCTGACGACAGAAGGCTCCCGCTGCTGCCACTGATGATCTTCCCTTTGCTCCCCATGTTGGCCAGCTTGGAGGTCTTCAGTGTGCCTGTCTCGGTCAGGTCGATAGCGATCTCACTCAGACTTCGTGCGGCATGGATTTTAGACTAGAATGAGAAAGGCAACCAGGTCATAAAGGGGCACCTGTTCACGCTGAGACCACAGTCATCACGCGCTTGCTTGCAGACCTGAAAGTCAGCAAAGGGACTCATCTCCCCACCTGCAGCATTTGTTTGTGTCCCCTGGCCCCTCACCAATCACCGAAGCTCTCTGCAGGAGCAGGTGTGGCTCAGGAGCTGACATGAGTGGTGAATTTTCTAAACTTATTATTCTGTAGGTTGTATTGGACTGTCCTTGAGAGCAGGGACTTTGCAGGCAAACAGACCTTCCTCCCATTCCCTCCCCTCTTCTCTGCCTGGACCATTGCTCTCAATAAATAGTAGTGATTATAACTATTTTGTGTTCAAAGAAGGAAGGAAAATAATTTCAGCTTTATGAGTGACATAAGAGCTTTCTGAAATAAAATCATGGAATTTAAATAAATTCTTAAGTGATTTAAACCTCTTAAATTGCTAGCCATGTGACCATGGAAAGGTTGAAAGACTGTGAAGTGACAGCATTCTGTCCCTCTATACCAGTGGTCGGCAAACTGCGGCCCCTTGAGTGTGGCTCTTCCACAAAATACCACGTGCGGGCACGCACATACAGTGTGATTGAAACTTCGTGGCCACACTCAAGGGGCCAAAGAGCCGCATGTGGCTCGTGAGCCGCAGTTTGCCGACCACTGCTCTAAAACACCAAGTGTGTGCAGGTGTAAAAGCCTCTAGAACAGCTGCTCATCTGGACACTCCAGTCCCACCAATAAGCGCCTGGCAGGGTGCTTTGCTTCTATTTTGACACCTAAGTGTACGAGAAAAGTCTTCAGGCTCTGGTTAACCCTCCACTCCACTTGTTCCATGTATTAGCTGGCCACTTGGCTAAAAGCCACAGCAGGTGAGAATAATCAAAGGGGTTCTGCAGTCACAATCACATTCCTAAAAGTCACCGTTTAGAGTCAAGTCATCTGCTGTAGTTACCACCTTTGGTGATGCCATGGGTTAGCATTTCCTGTATATGTATTTGATGGTTGTTTGCTTTTTCTCTATTCGTCAGGAAATCTACTTTAAAAATATATATTATATATATATATGATTGATTTTTTACAGAGAGGAAGGGAGAGGGATAGAGAGTTAGAAACATTGATGAGAGAGAAACATTGACCAGCTGCCTCCTGCACACCCCCCACTGGGGATGTGCCCGCAACCAAGGTACATGCCCTTGACTGGAATCGAACCCGGACCCTTCAGTCCGCAGGCCGACGATCTATCCACTGAGCCAAACCAGTCAGGACAAGAAATCTACTTTTGTGATAGTGCTTAGGCAATGGGCTTTACCTATACTATGGACTTTATGAGATCAGCTGTAAATGCACATCTTTCTGTGGCCCTTGGTGATAGCATGCACATGGATGGAACTAGGGGAGATTTTCAGTCACTTCGTGTGCATTTACACCTGGCACATGTGAAATTGCGTCTTTCCCGCACACCAGCGGAGCCGGCAGGAAGTAGCTAAGGAAGCCACAGAGGGGAAGGTACACCCAGGCCAACTCCCATAGTGACATGCTGTGCCCAGGTGCCCCCAGCTGTCTAGCAGAGACATCGGAACCCTGTGGTCTTGTCCTTCCCATGGCTCCATGTTAATGCCAACATTGATGAAACACAGTGACTTCTGACCGCTGAGAGCTTTCCCCATGTTAACAAAAGTCTGAGCAACAGAGGAAATGATGAGACTTTTTGTTCACCGGCCATGAAGTGTCTTCCTCATTCTCTCAATCCACATCTCCTTGACCTTAACCTTTGTCCCTGCCTTCAGGACCAGCTCACCTTTCAGCTCAGGGCTCCTTGTTCATCATCAGGTAATCCTGCTGCCAGGCCCTCGCAGCATTCCCACTGGCAGCAGAAGCAGGAAGGGCCTTTCATCTCAGTTGCCTCAGCTTATCAACAGCACCCATTTGGTTGACTTTTCCCTTCCACAGCACAGAAAGCACAATCTATGACTTCCTTTCTTTCAGCACTACTTTTACTAGTGCCCACGCTTTAATAAGAAGGAGCCCACGCCCACAATGATGTAATAATAACTCATGAAGACACAGACCAGTTCAGCATGGTGGTGAAGGGCCCAGGCTTGGAAAGATCTGAGTTGGAATTCTGACTCTTCCTAGTCAATCACTGTTTGACCTTCGTCTTCAAGCTTTGAGCCTCAGATTGCTGCTTTTAAAGTGGAGATCTTAAAACTCACATCGCAGAGTAGTGATAAGGACTAAATTAGAGAATACACATAAAGGCCAATGGAGTTGGAATAGTAATAGGCTCCAAGTCAGGGCCTGGCAGTGATTTGCTAAATGAGGTTTGATTAATGACTCAACCTGGTATTTTGGGGATCTCACTAATCACATGGAAGACCTGTGCCCACCTCATCTCCACTCCTGCCACACATCAACTTCAGGCAGAAAACAAAATATGGAAAACTGACCAATAGAGACCCTTCTTAAGGGAGACTAAATTCTTACAAGTTGTAGGAACTGACCGCGTCTCTCTAGAATGTAAATATAATGGCTGAATGAACCAGTGGAGAGAGAATGCTAAGAGGAAGTGAGTACTGATGGGGAGACTGTCTCCTTGCAAAATCAAGCCTTTGGGCCAACCTGAAAGAAACTCCACACTTCTAAGCATTTTGCTATTAGGGTCTTGCCACACAAAGTGTCATTACTGATATTCTGTCAGCAAGGTTTAATTGTCCCCCACCATGCTTTCACTCTGCCTTTGCTCTAGATAGAATGAAGACTAGCAGACTGCCTCAGGAGAAGAGAAAAAATAGGATAGATGTTTGGATTGAAAGCCAAGGCAAGAAGTCTTCACTCTGAGTTCAGAGGAAAAGGTCTAATATCTACTCTAAATAATTTGAACTTTCAAATGTTTTCCTCTGAAGTCTACAAGACACTCCCTGGCTCTGGGCTACAGAGGTTGCGGGGATGCAGCTGACGACATTTCTGATCTTTGGGGTCAGCACATACGAGTTACCAATTGTAATTGGTGCCTGAACAGCCTCTCATTCTGAATCAGCCACAGGAAACCAAGCAATAAAGCTTACCCTTCACTCTGTCTTTGGTGGGGTGGTGGTGTGTATATAAGACAGAGAGAGGGGGAGGGAGGGAGAGAGAAATTGATTGATGTCCTTAAATGATTTACACAATGACCCTGAAAGGAGAAAATAACTGAGTACCAGGGAAAGAACATGAGACTTCTTGGCTACCCACCCCTGCTGACTCAACCCACTAGACCGCACTTGTATCTGGGTTTGATAGGCATCACTTGGGAGGCCTAGCTTTTCTAAAGCACTTCAAAGAAAGGAATGGTTGGCATGGCCCGATACAGTAGAGTGTGTAGCAATGGATGGTTTGCCAGCCAATACTGGCTGCTCAGAACTCTCTGGAAGCTCTTCATCCCAAGCCTGTCAGCCTTCACTATTCCAGAGGCCATTCTGCCCACCAAGAGGAATCACATCACAGCTACATAAAGAACAACATTCCAGAAACAAAGGGTGTTGCAATGTAACTCCTACAGGGAGTTTTATCATCTCTAATTTAATTTGGGGAACTTTTAGAGAATTTAAACTTTCCATAAGTGTTGGTCAGGCAATAGTGTGTTGGATTAATAATGATAATAATAAAAGATAGCACATCTCCTAAAGCAATTTCACAAACATTGTGTCTTTGGACCAATCAATTTCAATTAGGAATTTCCTTTCCTGTTCTCTAATTGGGGAAAACAAAGCCATGATGAAAGACTTGCCCAGGGTTACAGAACTGGAAAACAGAGTCCTTGGACTTCCATGTGGGGGAACTTGTTCCTAATCTATCCCTGCGGGATACTGGTTCCTATGAGAAGTGCAAGGGCTCTGAAGAATCTGTGTGCATTTAAAGCCTACCGGGAAAGTTCTGCTCTGGGAGTGTACGCATTTTTTTTAGTCAGGGGTTGCTGAGAAGGACAGCTGAAATTTTCCTAGTGCTGTGCATTTGGTTTGGCCTCTGAAAAAACCTCTTGTTAACATGTTCTTTGATCATTACTTTTTGAAGTTTACTTATTGCATCAGCGGGTTGACCAGTAAGCCTGATGAATGAGGCTTCTCTACCTGCACAAAGATCACCTTTCAGAATGTGGCTCTAGAGCCCTAGGAACAGCTTCCTGAGTTACTCAAGAGACTATCTGAACAAAACAAACAAACAAACAAACAAAAAACAGCAGGGGATCAGGAAAAGAGTTCAAACAGCTAATATATGATCCTTAGGATGAAATACTCTTTCACTTTCCCCTGTTCAAAATTGTGGTATCAGTGTGGGGGCTCTGCCTGCAGGAGGAACTAGCAGGGGGGGTTCAGGAGGATTGCCAGACTCTTTATCCCTCACCCCTCAATTGCTGAACAACACAGAGGATGGACTCAGTGTTCTAAGGTTTTGATCTCCAGCTCCTACCAGTGGAGGACAAAATGATGACACCCACCCACTGACTCAAGCTAAAGCATGAGTCAAACACTTGGGTCTTGTATTTTTTTTAATATACTTTTTATTGTTGATAGTATTACAGATATCTCCCCTTTTCCCCCTCTTTACCCCTACCCACCCCCCAGGTCTTCACTACCCTATTGCCCGTGTCCATGGGCTATGCATATAAGTTTTTCAGTTTATCTCTTCTTGTCCTTCTAACCCCACATCAGTCTGTTCCATACCTCCATGCTTTGGGTCTTATTTTGTTAGTCAATTCATTCTGTTCATTAGATTCCACAAATAACTGAGATCATGTTATATTTGTCTTCTTCAGATTGGCTTATTTCACTTAGCATAATAGTCTCCAGGTCCCTCCATGCTGTCCCAAAGGGTAAGAGATCCCTCTTTTTTACAGCTGCATAGTATTCCATTGTGTAAATGTCCCACAACATTTTTATCCATTCATCTACTGAAGACCCTGTATCTTTTCATCTAATGGGTCCTCAAATTCCTATGCCAATGCCCGTCACCACTAGAAGAGCTGTGGAATACTCTCATAATTCCTAATAAGAAAAAATGCTTTACCCTATGCCCATTCACCACAGAAAGTGAACAAAAGAGGGGTCAGGAAGAAGACTGAGTAGAGGAGAAAAGCTGTTACAAAGGAGACAATGACTGGGAAAGGCATTGGGAAAGGCATTGATCTGAAACCGAATTACACTTTAAATGATTACTTTCTTTATTCCTGTCCTGTTTTCTTACTATCCTTCTCTTACCTCCCACTCTACCCAAGCTCTCTCCCTCCATGCATCTCCCCAAGCCAGGGAAAGAGCAACTCCATCCAGGTGGAAAATAAGGAAAAGAGGAACCAAAAGGATGCAAAAGGACCCCGATCTAATGACTCTTATGCCCAGTAAGCCTAGGATCCTGCCACCTCCTCCCCTGCCAAGAACTCAAACAATGGGACAAAACTTCCCACAGGTGGTGGTACTGATTAGGCCAGGGCCAAAGTTGGCATTGCTTTGTAGCTCTGTATTTCACCCCATAGCCCTAACCCAAGGCAGCAGGATCCTGAGAAAAGTGCAAAGCTCACATCCAAATGGCTCTTCACCTGAGGGGTAATGAATGGGAGTGGTTTGCCAAGGGTGTGTGTGTGGGGGGGGCGGTGGAGGGGGAGGGAGCCAGGCAGACACAGCTGGAAGAGGGGGCAGAGTGTTGATATAAGCTGTGTGTGAACCAAGGAGAAGTCACTCTCCCACCCACAGAATATGCACCCGTGCCCCTGGAGCGGGCGGAATCTCCCGCCGAGGATGACTGTTTACCAAGGCCTGAGGCTCCAGGTCTCCTTGAGGGAAACAGGGCTGCTGCTTTTTTTTTTTTTTCATGTTTCCAGCTTTGCATTTTAAAAAACTGGAGTTGGCAGTTGAATAGGCCTGGAGGGTTTTCATAGCAATTATCCACAACAGTTAGGTGGTGTCTATTAATTGAGAATGGTTACTTTATTTTCCCCCTTGAAAAGAAAACAATATGCCACTGTTTAAACACCAAAAGGGGCTTCACTGCTTGCTCCTAGAAGAGGTTATTGAGGTTCAAAGCACGGTCAGATTCCTCAGAAGGGCCCTACCTGACTGTATTCAATGGCTTGAGTAGCACCAACTGTGGTTGGGCCAGAGCCCCTTGATCAAGTTGCAAGGAATGTGCCGTCTTGAAAAGGCAGGTCTGTATCTGTGCACATCTCAGGGCAAGGGACACAGTGCCACCCTCAACCATCCAATCCTCAATCCCTCAGCAATGAGACCCAGACAAGGGCTCTCATTTGCCCTCAGCTTGGTGACAGTCTGTCACAGCAGAGTTCCTCCCAGGCCCTGAAAAACGACTTACCTTACTCTGCTTCCTGTCCAGGTAGAACTGGTGCTGGCTAATAGCCATAGCCCAAATGGACTTGATTAATGCTGGGCACGCGTACCACGTGTGCACCGCAATGCCACTGTGCCCAAACGTCCTCCTCGTCACAGAAGCTCTGGGAAAGCAAGGATCAGAAGGGGCAACATGTTTATGATGACGAACTCCACTGATGGGTCAAAACTGTTATTGAGAACCCACTGGGTCCTAAATGTCCTGCTGTAAAGGTGACAGATGAGCATGCCCATGTGCATGCTTTGGGAAACCAGTACCAAAGGCCTTATTTTTATTTTATTTTATGAATAAAGAGTGTATCTAATGTATACAACAAGATAATCTGATACACATCCCACAGGGAAATGATTACTACAGCTGAGCTAATGAACATACCATATCCTCACATAGTTACTATTTTCTATGTGATGAGAACACCTAAAATCTACCCTTGGAAAATTTCCAAGATTATACAATACAGTATTAGTAACCATAGTCACCATGCTATCTATTACATCCCTAGACTTATTCATCCTTAATTGCAACTTAGTACCCTTTGACCAAATCTCATTTCCCCATCTCCCCATCTCTCCTGGTAACCACAGTTCATCTTTCTGCTTCTATGAACTTCATGTCTTTAGATTCTACTTATAAGTGAGAACATGTAGTTCTTCTGTGTCTAGTTGATTGCACTTAGCATAATGTCCTTCAGGTTCACCCATATTATTATAAACAGCAAGACCACCTCCTTTTTTAAGGCTGAATAATATTCCATTGTGTAAAAATACCACAATTCCTTTATCCATTCATCTGTCAACAGACACTTAAGTTGTTTCCATATCTTGGCTTTTGTGAATAATGCTAATCTTTTTATTTACTGGCTCCTTTGGGTTCAGAATGGGGTCAAGCCTCTGCCTTATCTGAGATAAGACGGGTCTCCTTTCTGGTCTTCAGCTTCTGGTGTTGAACCAAGACAAACTTCAGAGACAGGAAAAGCCTTCGACAATGTCCTTTATTAAGCAGGAAATGCTGCCTATGGTGAAGGATGATCAAATTCTGGTCTGATCACCACAGGCTACAGCCTGTGGGAGGTGCTAAGGGGATCAGGGCTTATATTACTTTAATTCAATGGTCCTTGAAAGAGCTTGTCATTAATTTCAAATACATTCATAGGGAAGACAGGGCCTTAGAAAATCAGGAGAGGAAAGGTAGAAAGAAATGAGCCCAGCCAACCCCTTCAATATCCTGCCTCCACATGTACATGTATGGGGAAGACATGGAGTATATATACGCATGGAAATCAGACTTTAAAAATGAAAGTGGAAATACAGGTCCCAACATAACTCACCATATCAGCAGCATTGGGAGGGAGGGGGGAAGGAGGGTATATGTCCATGATCCTCAGTGAAGTGTATTTTATGGTAGATTATTACAAAAGTGTTTGCATGCAAATGTGTGTGTGTGTGTGTGTGTGTGTGTGTGTGTGTGTGTAGGGCAAGGTGATGGGACAGCGGGTGGGGTCTGTGGTTTCTGATGTGTATATGTCTGAAGAAAATGTGTGTTCTCAAGATTAAGATATCTAATTTGGAGGAAACTTGGGGTAGTCAGGACCTATGAATAATTTTTTTTCTCATAGCACATTTTCCCTTGAAGAAAATTTAGAGCTGCTCTATTCACCTTCCCTTGGGGGCTACAGCTTTAACAATAGGTCTTCTTCAGACCCATTTCTAAGGAGAAATTCAGATCTGGGGGTTAGTTGGTGATGCTGATTCCAGGCAGGGTGTTTTTCTCTTTGGTTAAAAAGGGAGAGTTAAGAGAAAATGCCAGTGCATGAAAGGCAGTTCAAGATAAATTTATCCATAAACTTAAAAAGAAACTGTGGTCTATAAATGTATAAATTTAAAAAGAAATTTTTAATTTAAAAAGAAACCTGTGATCTGAATACCTATTTTGGCTTCCATAGCAATGGACGCTCCTGGGAGTAAATACTTTTTTTTCTTTCCTAGAAAAACTGAGTTAGAAAGGAAAAGTAAATTGCTATATATTTTAGTGAAAGCAATGAGAGTTGTACTAGGCTGATCTCTTTCAGATAAGGTGAGAGAGGAAGAGTTAAGAGGCCTTCTGGTCTGGGTGGTTCCAAGCTAGCCACAGAGCATCTGAATCAGACCCTCTGAGAGTTTTTCTCCTGCTTCATTATTAATTTATCTCTTCCCTGCATCTTTCCCTCCAGGCTCTTCCCACCCCACCCACTTTTCTGCCCTGCCTAAACCTTAGAAAGGGACTGTTTTCCGGGCAGAGAACAGCAGATACAATGGGGGGGGAGTCAGGACAGCGGTGCAGGAGAATAAACCCCACAGCACTTCTGTGACTGTGCCCATCACCTCCGGAATAAGCCTGTGCTCTGAGGGAATCGCTTGTTCCCCACATGCCCCATGGATGACATCTTTGTATCTTCACAACAAGATTCTCTCCTGCACTTCCATCCTATTGCTTTGGTTCTGACTCACTTCCTGGTTTGGGCGGGAGCGGGGGGGGGGCGTGTCATCCCTATGGATGTCCGGTCAGATTTGTTCTCTCTGCTCCAAACAAACAAGGCCCCAGCAGCAGGATGATCCGTTGAATTTAAGGAGCACCATGAGGCCCTGAAGAGCCCTTCCTGGCCTCTCCTGCCTCCCCTGCCCCTCCCTGCTGCCTGGGGCTGAGAGAGGTTATTTTTCTCCTGGGGACAAGACCTTGCTCTGTGCACAGGCTGCCTGGGCCCCTCACTTTCTCTCCTCTCTTCTGTCCCCCTGACAGACATATGTCCTCCTGAGGGCCCACCTCAAGTTTTACATCCTGGTCACCCTCTGAGGTTCTGTTCAGATGGGCCTCCCTGACCAGCCTGGCTCCTGGTGACCTTGAACATTTATGTTTTTTCCATCTGCCGCTTGGTACTGCTACCTTGTGTATAGTGTAGCAGGAAGGTGTGTGAGCGTTGGAGTCAGACTCCTGGGTTCAAAACCTGCCTCTACCCTTACTAGCTGTTTGTAACCTAGAGCAAGCTGCTTCGTTTCTCTGTGCCTCAGTTTCCCAGATGTAGAGGAGGAACACTATGGTGCCTGTTTCCTGGAGTTACAGGGAGGGCCAGATGAGATTAATGGGAACGAGTGTTGAGAAATGTGCTTGCACACAGTGAACACTCAATAAATAGCACACTTCTTCTTCTGCCTGTCTCTCCAAGTGTGCCAGAAGTTCTCTAAGGGCCGTAGACCCTGTCTTGGTACCCAAATACTGAAGCTACACAACTAATATGAGACTGATCACCTTCATTCCATAGGCTAACAGCTCACATAATAGTAACATGTGAGGTTTGGACCCTTTCCTATACCCTTAGGCATTGGGGAATGGAATTTAGTATTGTATCACAGACAGGGCAATAGACCCAGAGAAAACACACACACACATACACACATATGCACAGCATGTCCAAGGTGCCTGAGTTAGCAGGATCCCCAACAGAGCACAGGCATGAAGAGGGTCTAGTTTTATGCGTGGCCCCTTAAACTACTCTTCCTTAGCTTAATTCTGTCCAGCATCCCCTTTCTGCATCTGACCCATGGTGGCAACATGCATTTCATTCCTTTTACGTAAGTTTCCCCTCCTTCCACACTCCTAAGACAGGTCTGGTCAGTTCACCTGGACAAATAACTGCGTTCCATTCTGGCTGTGCCATCATTTCCGGCATTTCCCCCTCTCCCTCACTCCACCGGCTCAAGCAGATTCCTGCTCTGCAGAGCTGCGTCTCTGGACTCTAAGACCCCGAGAAATGCCAGACAAGTTGTTCTTCTGGCTCAATGCTACCGCCTTCACCTGGCTGTGAAAACAAGACTCTCTAAAATGTTCTCCGTTTGCTTCTTTAGTGACCGTGGGGCATGAGTAAGCTCTTGCTTTCACACAGATTATGCAGCCTGGCCAGCAGCACGTCAGCCTCACCGGTTATCAGGGGCCGCAGGACCCAGACAGTGCACAAGCCTCAGGCCCTGACCTGCGCCCTCTCTGCTTTGTGGCCCCAGCCCTGCAGGAGGCACAGCAGCTTTTTCAGAGGCTCAGGGGCCATGTGGGAGCTAGCTGGTGCCAGATCCTCATTCCCAGGCCAGGGCTGGGGGATCGATGGCACAGAAAACCCACATCTGCCCTCTACAGAGTCTGATCTTCCGGTCTTCCCAGGACTGCCTTCTGGCTGTAAATCCATGTTTTGGACTTACCCCAAGTGATTTACTCTTAGGTGGCAGGCTTGCTTTTGGGGAATTTTGCAGCTGCTTCTGGGCTGCCTCACCTCCAGGACTGAGGCAGAAAAAGAGGAGAAGCCGTGGGCGTCTGCTGCCCCTCACCTTCCACGCAGGCTGGCAGGGCAAACCAGGGCCCTAGTGTTTGTCATCTGACTTAGCACAGCATTTATGCTAGTGCCGCCTGGGGCACGATGTGAAGTGCAGAGAAAAGGAACTGCGTCTTTCACATCCATCCACAAGCCTGACACCCTCACACCCACAGCTCCCGGAATCCAACAGTTTGGCACAACTGCTTCACGTGCAGGTCACCCTGGGTGCGGACTTTCCTACCGGACACACCCTCAGAAGCTCTGACAAGCCATCCTTCAGATTCTCCTCTGGCAAAACTTCCTAAAAAGACTCAGTCTGCTGCCCAGTTTAATTTGGTGTTGGTTACGAAGAGCTAGGAATCTTCCCTAAAATGCCCGGCTTAGAAAGACAGCTCCACATGCATGAGCTGAGCGCTAACACGTGCAGGAAATGAGATGAGCAAGAATGGCTACCTCTCTCTCTCTCTCTCTCTCTCTCTCTCTCTCTCTCTCTCTCTCACACACACACACACACACACACACACACACACTTGAACCCACCGCATTTATCGACATACATAGAACAAAACAAAGCTTTACTGTCTGATTTCAACTGTTCTCCACGATCACCCATCCTCTCCCTGCCAAAATGAACAGCGAGGATGGCAGCACAAAAATAGGATCATTCATGCTGGTGGGCCTTGCCCTCCCAGACGAAAGGATTTTCCTAGCTTACCTGCGTGGGTCATGAACTTCCACGGAAAACTTCTTTTCTCTGAAATACAGGTTTTCCAACTGCCTCCACTGGAAAATCTGGACAGAAAGCAATGCAGTTTAAGTTCAGGAGCGCTTGGTTCATGCGGCTGCAGTCCTCCCTTTGCCGCTGAACTTCTGCAGCTGGCAGTTTCCTTATCAAAGCAGAGACTGTACAGTTGTTTTCGCCTCCTCCGCCTCTTGCTTCACACACACACACACATACACACACACACTCTCTCTCTCTCCAGTTCAAAACCTGGCAACGTGGGTGTGGATTTTCCTGCAGGTTCCTGAACGAGAACAAAACAAGTTCTTTTCAAGTCATTGCCGGCTGCTCTGCCTTTGTTGAGTTCTCCAAGACAGTTCCCAGCTCCACAGAAGTTTCCCTCCACAGCGAGGGGCGGGGAGAGCAGCGCAGAGGCAGGCTGGGGGCTGGAGGGACGGAGGAGCAGCACAGAGCTGGGAAGGAAGCAGTAGCCATCTGCGGGAGGGCTGCCTGAGGCTTCCTCCCTCCAGTGCTGAAATGGGAAGGCGCTCAAATTCCCAGCCTCCCATCGGGACTCCACTTCCTGCCCACTAATGTGTAAGAGCTCGGACTCACCCTGGTGACGAGGCAGCTCAGGAAGCCTCCTGAGGAGGGCGGGGGCTGCCTTGACCTTATTCTGGGCCAGGCAACTCAAGATAACAATGTGCGCCTGTCAAGCCCATACTTCTTTCTGCAGCACAAAGAAAGCCAAGGGTCCCGCAGCTGCCAGGACACAGCAGCCACCAGGGGGTGCGCAGGGAGGGGGAGCAGGGGAATGGAGGCAGTTCTGGAAAAGGGGAGTAAAAAGAGCTCCCCCTCAGGCCCTGGTGGGCATTTTTCCTTCCAAGAGAGCACCCCTTAACTAAGAAGCTGACTGCAATTACTGGGAATAATTAAGGCTGCAGCACTGATGGGGGCGGGGGGTGCCTCTTATAAGATGAAAAAGAAAGTTACTTAACCCTCTGGGAAATGTCAAAAGAGGTTGGAGTCATGCACACATTACTAGTATTTATATTTGTATCTGATGCATACCACATCCCTTCTATACTAGTAGTCTTAGAACTGGAGCTTATTTTGCTCAAAGGAGGGTAAAGCAGCAATCCTCTCGGCTCCTCCCGGGGGCATATGCTTTTCAGGGTGTCATCCTAGACCCAGACTCCTGTCGTCTGGGGCTCCTGACCCTCTCTCACTTGCTCACGGTTTCTTCTTAAAGGACTGGAATAATAAAAACGATTTCTAGGATCTTTTACCCTTTGAGACAGCAGGGATGGACCTGCAAATTATTATGCAAAGTGAAATAAGCAAATCAGAGAAAGACAAATCTCACATGATCTCACTTGTTTGGGGAATCAACAAAATAAGACCCAAAGCATGGAGGCATGGAACAGACTGATCTTGGTGTTGGGGGAGGAGGTGAGAAGAGATAAGCCAAAGAACTCATATACCTATATGCATGGCACTTGGACACAGACAATAGGCTGGTGAAGGCCTGGGGGTGGGTGGGTAGGGGCTGGGCAGAGGAGGCTGGGGGAGGGGGAATAGGGACATCAGCAACACTGTCAATAATAAATAAATAAAGAAATAAAGAAATATATATATATATATATATATATATATTCAAAAAATTTTAAAAAAACATAAAAACAAACAAAAACGGCTTCCAGAAGGGCTGCATTCTTTTCTCTTCAGAACCTGCTGGGCAGAATTTGATGATTGTTCTATGTACCAAGGAGGAGGACCTCACTCTCCTGAATTAGAGCCACCTCCGTGGCCCACAGCTCATACAGTACATGTCACTATGAAGCCAAGGGAAGCTATAATTTCCTTCTCCTTTAGGGGAGGTTCCAAGTGGGTGCAGAGACGTTTCAAGGAAAGCAAGTGACCAAAGCCCTGCACTGGCTCCGACAGCGTGTGTGGGGCACAGATGAAATGCCACCTGCGCAGAGCCTGGAGGACTCAGATGACAGGGCTGGATCTCAGGCTCCTTGCTGATGCCCTTATGCTAAATTCCTCAATGAAAACCCTCACAGCTCCTCTCTGACCCCTGCTTGTCAGCCACTTGTAGACAGTCCACTTGAACTTAGCCACAGCCAGAAAAGCACCAGAACCATCGGATCCCTGACACTGACCTCATAACCCGACAGAGCACAGGGTCCAAAGTGGCCAGCACACAGGCTCTGGAGTCTGACTGCATCTGTTCGAGTCCAGGCTCTCCTACATCCAAATTATTTTGCTCTTAGGCAAGCGACAACACTTTCTTTAGCCTCAGTTTTCCCATCTGTGAAATGGCATTAATGGCTCCTTCTAGGTACAGCTCACTGGCACAAAGTAAGCACTCAATGAGCTTAGATCTTATCATGATTCCTAATTATTCTGACTTCTCCCAAATCCTGGGACATAAACAAGAATAACTCAGAATCAAAATTATTCTTTTCTTAAATTTCTTTTTTTTTTTAAAGCTGGAAATATTTTATTACATTAATAGTTCAGTATTCCTCCTCCTATGCTCACAGATGGTGTAGTTTTTTCTGTGTTCAATGGGTTTCTTTCTGTATGTTTCCAAACTGTTCTCGTCTCCTGGTTAGCGGACATCAAAGAGACCAACACTAGGCTCAAACCCAATTTCTATCAAGCTCTCAGACTGGGGTTTAAGAAAATACAATTTGATTGTCTGCATGCTGGGAATCTCTAAGGAAGTGTACAGAATTATTCCCCGCCCTCTCTCTCTTCCCTTTCTTTTGAAGAAAAGGGTGGATGGAAGATGGCTGGTCTCTGAGGGGGGCCCTCAGCCCTGTGCTGCCTCCACCGTGGCCAGGACCACTGCTATCGGCCTGTGCTCAGAAGGGCCCATTTGGTTTATTGCTCTGCTGTCACCATGTTGAAATTCTCTGTAAGTTTGGATCAAGGGCCCTGCATTTTCATTTTGTGCCCAGCCTACAAACTATGTCCCTGGTCCCCATCTTTGGTCCTGGCTGGCTCTTGTGCCACAGGTACTGCCCTGGGGTAGGCAGCATTTGGGGTAAGGTGCCCACCCAGAGCCTGCAGTCCCCTCCCCATCAGGAGGAAAGAAAGTAAAGCTGGTGTGAGGGTGCCTGCAAACACCTCTCTTGGGCCTTTTATTTGGACTCCCCGGACCTGGTGAGGAACCCCAGCCAATACTCAGAGTGGCTGGCTCCCTGGCAGCTCCTCCCTCCCCAACTCCTTGCAAAATAGAACAAGCCGGGTCTTCCCTTGAAGTGCTCCCCGTGTAGTTGGTGTGGAGAGCCAAGCCTCTGCCAATGGCCCAACCAAACCACCCTGCTCTGCTGTGGGCCCTTGATCCGCCGCCACTGCTGCCTCCCGGGCTCCTGTCCTGGGCACTGCACCCTGGCTGCCTGACTCTGGCCTCTCCCAGGGTGATGTCTGCAGACATTTTCTAACAGGAGGCAGAACCATGGCTTTCCCTCATGTCTGCTCAAGCAGGGGTTCAAAACAATTTTTTTTTCAAAAGAAATACTAGAAAGAGAGGTGGAAGTGAGGTGACTGAATGGACAGTTTTTCAAGACAGGTTTGCACTGGGACATTAGCAGAATCCCAGGAATCAGAGGAGATGCCCTTGTGGGCACACTGGCCTGACCCTTTCTCCTCACTTAGGGGGGGATGTGGGGCCGGGCAGCAGGGAGATGAAGGCAGCAGGATGCAGCTGTGCCGAGGGGCTGGCCACCAGATGGTCACTCCTGGCTGTAAATGCACTGTCTCCTCATGGAGCACAGCTCAGAGGCCCTGCCCACTGAGGCTGGCAGGGCAAAACCAAGAAGCAAACAGACAGAGACACTTGGCCTTGCCTCCCTTTATGAACAGGCCACGCCGGGCCCCAGAGGTGCTGGTTGGGGCAGCTCCTGCTCATCTGTGTCACTTAAGCAGAGCCTTCCTGGCTCCCTGCAGCTTCTCAGCCACCAGGTAAAGACACCCATGTGCTTTGTGACTCCAACTGAAGGCCCATCAGACACACACACAATGGTCATTATGACTGTGCTAGTTCCCTTAGGATTTGGGATTTGGTGTAATCACTGTGGCCAATTATGCCCAAGGAGCTAATTAGAAGCTCAAATACATGGGTCTACCAGTAATCAAAGGATTTATTAATTAATACTTATCAAATCAAGGCCATTCTAATAAACTTCATGGGGGCATCTTTAAAAGGTCTGTAAACACCCCTTCTTTGATCTTTCAGCATCCCTGAGAAGAGTGAGTGGGAAACTTGCTTCTTGGGGAAAGTGAGGCCAGAGAAACCGCTTAAGGCCACACAGCACGTCAGTGAAGGAACCAGAAATAGGAGTCAAGGGCACCTGCCCATTACTCGAACCTCTAACATGCTCCTTCCACACGGGCCCACTAATTAGTGGGAAGAGCTCTTACTCACTAATGGCTGGTTCACTTTATGAGTGGAATGGTTTTTACAAATAAACAACAATGTGACTATAAGTAGGAAATATAAAAACCCAATCTTTTTAGTCCTATACAGCAAATTTTCTTCCCTTCTAGAGACCTGGATTTCCTTCTCTTCTTAGAGACCTGGATTGCTCTGGTAGTCTACTCAGGGATGCCTTAGCTTTCAATCAAGGACTAACAGCAAAAAGCATGAGGATAAAGAACAGCCTTAGTAATTTGCTTGTCCTGGTTCAAGTGTAGAGAAACCACTCGGAGGTGGTTTCATGGAGACGAGACGGTGTCTGTCACCGCCTTTGGGACCAGGGCTGGTATTGGATGTGGAGTTGTAATTTCTGACCCAGACTTGTATTCCAAAAGGGATCACAGATCTTCCACTTCCCCCTTTTGGGATTCAATGTCCTTAAGTCTAAAATAGGAAATGAGAAGCGTTCAACCAGGAAGAGCAAAGAAACCTGGCTACTAAATACCACCTTCCAGCCATGAGTGTGAAGGGTGCATGTACACACTTCATGGGCAGAAGTGGTCACTGGTCCTATTAGCTGGGCTGCTAGATTCCCACATCCTGTGCATGGCTGGTGGTCAGGGCAGGAAGGGGCTCATA